GGCGGGGCCACACGCACCAGGCGGTGCCCCACAACCACAGGGGCTGGAAGGGATGTGGCAAGGACTGGCCGTTAATCCAGCCCCAAAGTCATTCCTGGCACCCACTGCATCACAGCACAAAGGGTTTTCCTGGCCCGCCTTGTCCCTCTAACCCAGGTACATGTCCTGTGAGATACTGTGGGCGTGTTGGGGTAGAAGGGGAAGCTACGGAGGCATCAGGTCATGTTTGGGCAGGATCTAACCCATCCCAATTAGACCCTTCCATATCCCAGGGCACCAGGGCTCTCCCATGCCTGCTCCGTGGGTCCCATTGCTCTGGGTAGAAGTTGCACAGCACCTGAGCCAGCCCATCCTCCCTCCCCCCTGGCACTGCAGAGCCACGCAGGGACAAAGCCCTGCTAATAAAACAGGAGTAAGAGAAGCCAGGATGGCTCTTAATCCTAATCCCAGCTCAGGCCAGCTTCCTCCAGGCGCTGAGCCACGGCTGTGGTGACAGGCGTCCCGCTGAGCATCGACATGGAGCCATCTCCCTCCCCAAGAAGAGGACAAGCTTGTGTGGCCACCAGCACAGACACCAACCAGCCCTGACCCCCACCAGCCCCCCAGACTGCAGCACTGTACAGTGGTGGGTTTATTCAAACACATTTCCAACACAGAGGGATGCTGCTGGAGCTGTGGGGCAGAGCAGTGTGGTTAGCTCGCCATCTCCTTGGCCATGGCCTTGTTGAGCTTGTCTTTGAGGTAGGCTGTCCGCTGCCGCTCCAGCTTCAGGTCCAGGAACTCGTAGTGGGGCACCTGCAGCAGGATGGGGCAAAGAGGAGATGCCATCAGAGCCCCAAGATGCGCAACAGCATCCTCAAGGAGTCTCCCACTGGGACGTGGCAAGGACATGGAGCACAAGCAGCCTATAGGCGGGTCCCCATCACAGCAGAGGTGGACACTGAACCTGAGGTGGCCATGGGGATGGGTGAGAGCACCCAACACTCCCACGCGTCAGTGGCATTAGCACCCAGGGGACCGAACCACAGACAATTCAGGACTGTCCCCAAATTAACCCACGTGACCACCACTGAACAACAGGGCTTCTGTGAGCAGCTGGGATGGCACAAAGCACCGGGGCAGCCACAGTGACCACCCTGCCCCCCAGTAGAGGAGGATGTGGTGCAGCACCTTCACCATGAGGAGGCTTGGGGACCTCCCGAACACCAAAACATGTGAATGCAGAGGACGTGCAGAGCTCCATGTTCGTGCTGCCAGCCCAGCCCATCCTTCTCCCTGTGCCTGCCCCAGCCTGGCAAGCAGCGGATGAAGTGTTTATTTGGAGGGGAGCTGCAGGCAGGAGGAGGGCATGCAGCTGGGGGAGAGGCCCACGTGCCCAGCACTTGCTCTCTGGCTGAAGGGTGGTGGCTCGAGCTGGGTTAGAACTCTGGCACCAGCACGTTGCTCCTTGGTGGTGCCTCTGCCAGCCTGTACGAGGGAGCAGCCTTGTCTGGGGAGATCGAACAAACTAGCAGGGCTGAAGCTGCAGGAAGCAACATTTCCCTCCTTCTCCTCCTCCTGTCTCCCTGAGCCTCCCCAGCCAGCCAGAGTGGGAGATTATGCAAGAGGCTGGGGAGAAACAGCGCCGGTGAACCTCAAACCTCACTTCACATCAGCCTCAAAGTGTGGCAGCACAGGCAGAGAGCTGGAAGGAGGACGCTGGGGAAGGGTGGAAGCTCAGGGTCCTCACATGGAAGAGGAGAGGACAGGCTAGGGAGACCGCAATGATGCTCTGGGGTGACATGTGGCCCCTCAGTCTTGAAAGAGCCATGCAGCTCGGGCAGTGCTGACCGCAGGCTCTTCAGGACAAGGGGCAGAGAGATGGCTCCCTGCCTGTGCTGGCAGCAGGCTGAGCCACCCTCCCTCCTCCCCCGGAGCAGCCAGCAGCAGAGCAGCGCTCACTGCCTGCCAGGAGAGCTATAATTACCTCCAGAAAGCTAAATAATGCATGACCCCATGGCTCCGGCACAGGGGATCAGCACCCTAAGACCTTGTCTGCTGTCCTCCTTGATTATCAATACCCCCACACCACCTTCAGCCTGCCTAGCAGGTGGCCTGGAAGGGATCACGGCAGCTAATCCCAATGAGGGCAGGCAGGAGGGAGACCTGCCGAGCCATCTGCATGGAGCTGTGCACACCAAGGAGCACTCGGGGCTGGCCCTGGGGCTCTGCAGGACCCAAAGCCATCAGGAAGGTGGTGGTGGGAGTGAGAAGGAAGCTGGAACTCCCCCATGAAGGTGTATGCTCCTCCACCTCCATGGAATCAGAGACCCCTCTACCCCACGGCTACTCACGTCCACCACGAGGAAGCCGGCTGCCTGGATGTGGCGCCGGGCCATGACAAAGCGGCCCAGCAGGTCCTTGCTTCTGTTGCTGAAGTTGGGAAACTCCCACCGGAGGAAGGCAATCCTAGGAGATGCAAGGGGGAGCGGGAAGCCATGAAATGTGAGGCTGGGCATGGGCAGCCCAAGCAGAGCTGGCAGCAGCGCCCAGATTCCAATGGCAACCATGGCCGAAGGGCCTGCTCCAGCTCTGCTGATTGCCCTGTGCCAGGACACAGATTTATCCTGCTGGAGCTGTTATCCTGCCTCTGAGCCATCTGAGAAGCACCAGGACAGCGGCTCAAGTGCAATTTATCCACCATCCAGGCCTGGCAGAAAACTGAGTGGGGCGATGCTGCCTTTTCCAGGCAGGAAGGAGGCAGCTCAGGGCCCTGCAGACAGCCAGGCTCCATAGCAGGCAGACCTGGCAGAGGCTTTCTTCTGAGAGAAAACCATTGCCTCAACCAGTATGTGGCCCCCTTCCCCTGCTGTGCTGCCACCACGCTGTCTGGCCAGAGCAGCCCATTACTCCAAATGCTACCCCGGGGTGTGTGTGGGCACAGTCTTATCCCAATTTCTGTCCTGTGCCCACCCCTCTGCTCCCAAACAAGGCAGCACGCAGCTGGGCATCGTGTCCTTGGCACACATCACTGGCTGTGGTGACCAGGAGGCACAGAGCCCACAGCTCCTCAGCACCGCAACAGCAGAGCCCTCCTTTCCCCTCATACCCCTCAAGCCCCTGCCCAGCTGGCAGCCACAGCTGAGCCCAGACCCACCTCCTGGCACCTGGTGGCAATGGCTTTGTCCCTTCTGGGCAGAGCAGATGGGGAGCAGCAAAGTTCTTCACAGGGAGAGGTTTATTTTCGCTGTTCACCAACATCTCAGCATCTGCACGGAGAGGAGGGAACACAAGGACTCCCGAAATCCCACCTGGATGCTGCTCACACCATCTCCCTCAAGACTGGTGATGCAAAGTACGCAAGGTCCCACTACTCCCTTCCCAGAAAACCAAAAAAACACAGAGCAGTTCTGCACAGATGGCCAGGGACAGGGTCTGCTTCCCAAGCACCTCCTCAGACATGTCCGTGGCCCGATTTTAGCCCCCAGTGTCTCACGAGGAAGGGGATGTGCGGCTCACGAACCACAGAAGTGGCTGTGGCAGCTGGGTGGCCAATCCTTGCTACGGAGGAGGTAGGGATTGAATTTGACAGGGCTGCAGGAGAGCAGGGAGCTGGGGGAGCCTGGAGTGGGCTGCAAGAGCCCAGAGTGCAGCACAGGAAAGGTGAGCAGAGCCAGAAGGCTCTCAGTAGCCTTGATGCTGCCTGCCTGAAGAAGGGCTTTCCTCCTTCATCTGGTCCCCACAACCATGCCCTGGGCTGCGGTTTCTGCTCTGCCATGAGTTGGGGTACGAGATGCAGTGAGACAGGGTGGCTGCAATGAGGAAGCATGAGGCGGAAGAATGAGGGGGAGGTAAACCCTGGAAGCTGTATCTGAGCCCTCAAGTTCAACTCCCTCCACTGCTGGGGTCCCGCTGCTGCCTGTGGAGGTGGGGAGAGGAGGCACTCACCGATCTGCCACCCATAGATGGTGCGTGCATCAAAGCGCCCGTTGTCCCGGCTCCCCAGCACCCCCACCAAGGCCTCCTGCAGGCTGCTCTGCAGCAGGGTGACCTTCTGCCCCGCTGGCTCTTTCACACTCAACATCTCCGGTGGCAGGAACGGCCCTTGGTAGTCAGGGCTTTCCAGCTTGGCAGCAGCATTGATATGAATGAGCTTCAGCTGTAAGTTCTGGGCCTTGAGGGACTGATCACCTGGTGGGAGGAGAGAAGCAGAGCTCAGGCACGGCCCAAAGCCCTGGCTCTTCATTGGGTGGCCTGCACAGCCTGTGTGACTTGGATTCCTTGTTCTGATCCCCACATGATGGCTCCCCAACTAGTGGCATGGAAATATAGGACAGCAATGGCCAAATGCTGTGGTGCTTGCATGAAGCCGGCCAAGATAGAAATCCCTTGTTTGGTAGGGACAGTCCCATGGAGCCCAGTGTCTCTGGTGTGGTTTTATTCCCAGTGTCCCATGCAAAGGGAACATGGGGCTCACAGACCACAGAAGTTTCTATGGCAGGCGGCTGGCCGGGCCCCCCCACAGAGGAGGCAGGGATCGAATTTGACAGGGCTGCACCTTCCCAGCAGTCACTGTTTGGTGAGGAAATTCCAAGACCTCCAGTCTCGAGGGATCCCCTTTGCTGTCACTGTCTTGTTCTCCCTCTCCCCCATCACACACAGGCACAAACCCACAGCCCAGCGGGGCTGCTGGAGGCCATGGCTCTCATTAGCCCAACTCTCCTGGTGCTGCTGCCCTGTGCTCCCCTTGTCTGGGTACCCTGCACAGAGCTGTGGGGGATGCATTAGAGCCATCCCCAGTGAGATCCACTCCCTCCTGGTTCACAGAATGACAGAATCATTTGGGTTGGGAGGGACCTTAAAGCTCATCCAGTTCCAACCTCCTGCCATGGGCAGGGACACCTTCCACTAGAACAGGTTGCTCCAAGCCCCTTCCAACCTGGCCTTGTTAACAACCTGTTAACCCAAATTTAGGCAGACCAGGCTCAGTATCCCCACTCCCTGCCCCAGGTCTGAGGTTCCTGGGCCTTGTCCCACTGTCAGAGATGCCCACCTCACCTCGGATCTGTGCGTGGAAGTCAGGCGCCAGCACTTGCTGCAGGTAGGGAGCCTTGGCCTGCTGCAGCACACAGAGAGACCACACCAGGTCTGTCAGCAGGTGAGGCTCCAGGCTGTGCAGCTGGCCCTGGAGCACCTCATGGACCTGCAGAGAGGGAAACCAAACAGCTCAGCTCAGCACAGTGCTGCTGACACCTCAGTCCTGCAGACAACACACGGGTCTGGCAGCTCAACAGATCCCTGGGGCCTTATGGTGCAGCTGATGTGCACCATCTACTCTACAGCAGTACTTCTTCCCTGGGTTACATGCAGAGGGGAGGACATTAAGATAACTCCAACATGTCCCCGCAGCTCATGAGCTGTGGTTTGCAGGCCCAGGATGCTGCACTGCTGCAGGGTAACACAGCGCTGCAGCATGCCCTGCCATGAGGCAGTGGTCAGGAAAGGGAGGGCTGGAGGCAATAACCCCATCAAGATCTGCAACTACAACAGAGCTGGAGGGGTCTGAGGCTGTAAGGGTGGTGTCAGGATGTCTGTCCAGGAATCACAGCAAGAGCCTGGAGCTCTGCACCCTGCAGGGGCTTTTCCTTTTCTGCAAAGTCTCAAAAGCAAGTTGGTTTGCACTTGCTACAAAAACCTCCTTCACAGGACCATGATTAATGCTGACAGGGGGAGCCCTGGATGCTACTTCCCCACCTTGTCCTTCTCCTATGCCAGGGAGACCTCTGGCTCCCCAGGCTGGCCTCACCACAAGGGACAGGGCTGCCCTGTGGTGGAACACAGGGTCCTGCCAATTAGAAACACCCACATCTGGTATGCTCTCTGCTCCGCTCTTGTGAGACCCCCCTGCAGTCCTGCACCATGCTGCTGGTGTATGGTAGAAAAGCGGCCCTGCAGGGCCAGTCATGGACTAACTGGTTCAGCTGTTGCCCGCACACAACCAGGGGAGCACAGTGAAGGTTCTTCAGCCTGGCCTGAGCTCTAGGCTCCCTTTTCCTACTCCCCATGCCATTTACAGCTGCTTTCAGCCACCCAACACCCATTTTCACACAGGGATGTGCTAGAAGGAGGTCTGTAGCCTCTCCACTGACAGACTTGATGAAGAGGGGGAAAAGAAGAAGGTTACCATGTTGAAGAAATCCTCACTTCCGCTGGGCTGGAAGTTCAGGCGAGCAAAAGACAGGATGATACTGCACAGATGGGTGAGTGACAGCTGCTTGGTGTTGTCCAGGGTGTACTGGGGGCAAAAGCAGAGGTTTAAGTCTATCCTACATGAGTATAAAATCAGGGAAACATTGAAACCGTCAGCCAAGGAGGCAGCCAACCCTGTGGCAAGATGCGAAAACAAGAGCAAAAGATCTTTTAGGGCTTCCCTGGGATTTTATCCTGGCACAAGGGAAAGCTGTCAGTGGAAGCAGAGCTCTGGAATATTCCAGAATAGATGCAAAATGCAGGCGCACAAACTGGGGCAGAGGAGCAGCACTGGCACTCAGGGCTGGAGGCTCAGACAGAGCTGAGACCAGCCCCAGCTCTGCACGGATCCCCAGTGCTGACTTTAGCGGAACATGATAATCAAGTCCTGTCAGACTCAATTACAGCCACTGGCTGGTTAGGGAAAATAGTGACGACATCCCAGAGAGCATCTCGGGAAGGGTGGGCGAAAACTGCTCCCACCTCCTGGGAACTGGGGTGGGTCACAGTTTGACTGGTGCCAGTGGGAGCTCCCCAGCCCTCCAAAACCTCCTCTTCCTCACCTGTGCAATGGCCTCAAACAGCGGCAGGTTGAGCCACTTGAGGAGGGCAAAGGATCTGATGCAGCGTGTCACCTCGATGGGCGTCATCGCAGGGATGTGGGGGTGCAGGTCAGTGGCTATCTTCTGGAAGACCTGGGGCTGGTGGAAATTCAGTTTTCCTTAAAGAAGGAAAGAGAAAGTGGCAGCCACTTACAAGGAGCCAGTATGGGAGCCGTGCCTGGACGGGAGGTGGCAACACAAGGGGAAGCACGAAGCTATTCATCTGAAGCAGAGCGGTATTACCTCCCCCAGTTGCATTGGTCCTATCCTTTCTGGTCAAACCAAGTCTCTACCATGCCCTGCTGCACCCACCAGCTCTCAATCCTGATGCCAACTCACGGCTCCAGCCTCCACCTAGTGCTGGTAGCAGAGTTCAGCTCCAATGTCTCTGTCTACAGTTCCTGGTCTGGCCAAGAAGGGCCCTGAACTCGCTAAGGCTACGGGGAACCTCACAAGGTTCAAGCAAGCAACAATCAGCAATGATCAGCACCAAGACCCAGAGGGGCTTGAGTCAGTGTGGACCAGCCATTAGGGGACAGTCCCCATGAGAGGGCCACAGGCAAGTTCTGAGACCAGCTACAGCAGCAATGACAGGTACAAACCATCCTGACACAACAGTGTGGCAGCCGCCCGGACACAACAGTGTGGCAGCTACCAGCACTGAAGAGAAATGTCAGCGCAGTGTCCTGGCCAAGAGCATCTCTACTGCAGTGGCTATGGCACTGCCAGAGCCTGTCCAAACCATGTCCAGCCATGGTAGTTGTCCATTTTGTAGATTTTAAGGCTGTGGAACTGCTGGATTAGCTCTGTGTATGACCCAGACCCATGTATACTGTCCAGTTGCCCTTCCTGAGCTGGAAGACCTACAGCCCTGCCTTTGAGAAAGGTGCCCAGCAAGGGTTTGGAAGCTGTGACCCATGCAGCATCCACCACTCTCCTTGAAACTTGTTCCAGATTAACCAACTTCACAACATGTAAGCTGGTAACATCAACGAGAGAAGCAAAAGCTCCCTCCAAAGCCAGGTGTACTGGGTTATTTCTTTATTTTGAGGGTATAGCTAACCTATGAAAGCTGTCCAGGTCCCAGTGGCTGTCAGAAGAGCTGCTCCCACTACCAGAAGTTTGACAACTGAATAAAAGCTCCTCCTTGGCTCTCCTGGCTTCCTTTATCTCTCCTTGTTTGGGTTTTCCACTGACTACCAACAGCAAGAGAATAGGACCATGTAACATTGCATGAAAAGAGGAGCCAGAGAACTAAGGATCACAAACTAAATTATCAATTAGTGATACTCTGCTGTTAATAGACCTGTTGTGTGCTGGGTTTGTGACCATCGTGTATCTGGTGGCTCTGGTCTAGCCTGTGGCCAGGAACACCACCATGATGGCTGTAACCACCCCTGTGTGTCTTACTAGTGCTTGTACATTGCAGGGCAGAGGGTCTCTCTCGCACACCAACCACCCTTCCAAAGTACTCTCTCATCACAAGTCCCCTTCTTCCAACACACTGGAAGGAAAATGGCGTATCTGGGTTCACTCCACCTATGCTTGGAGCTGGAAACTACCTTGCTGCACTGGCTGGTATGCTAGGTCCAGACTAATCCACCCCATTTCTCCTTTATCTGGCTGTGGCAGCACTGCTATCAAATCCCCGCTCAAGTGCCCAAAAATCAGCTGGACTCTACCACATGTAACATCCAGCACGTCGCAATACAAAAAGCCAATTACCATAGGCAAAAATTAGGTCCATCAGGACGTTGAGGCTGAGGTCAGAGTGCTTCTGAATCAGGTGGTAGGACATGGCTCGGAGCAGAGGCACGCAGCGCCGGTTCTGGTAGGCTAGAGCCAGTGTTATTTTCCGGATGTCATCGGGGTTGAACTGTTCAGCAAGTTCCAGAGCCTGCCAAGAAATGTTTGGAACAGCAATGTAAAGAGAAACCACAAAGCCTGAGTACCTCGAGTCCTGCATCCAGCTCAAGTGAGTCCAGAGGAGGCCACGAAGACGCTTTGAGGGCTGGAGCACCTCTGCTATGGAGACAGGCTGAGACAGCTGGGCTTGTTCAGCCTGGAGAAGAGAAGGCTCCAGGGAGACATTAGAGCAGCTTCCAGTGCCTAAAGGGGCAGACAAGAAAGCTGGAGAGGGGCTTTTGACAAGGGCAGGTAGTGACAGGACAAGGGGGAATGGCTTTAAACTGTCAGAGGGGAGATTTACATGAGATCTGAGGAAGAAGTTCTTCCCTGGGAGGGTGCTGAGGCCCTGGCACAGGGTGCCCAGGGAAGCTGTGGCTGGGCCC